AGGAATGCCCGACCACCTTTTAGATGGCCATGGACATGGCGGCAAACCGCAATACCAACACCTAAGCCCAACAGGCTGCCAGCCAAAACATCCGACGCATGATGTTTGTAGTCCGTCACACGGCTAATGGCCACAAACCAGGCCCAGAGTACGGCAGCGAATTGCAGGAACGGCACGAAAAGGCCAAAGCTGCAACGATAGAGGCGCAGCGAACGGCCAAACCGTTGCAGATAGAAAACGACAAAGGTCATGGCGTAAACGGTCAGGCTGGCGTGACCACTGGGAAAGGATGTACGCATTGCATAGTTAATTAGGTGAGAGATATTGTCGGCATTGGCTGCACCCTGGCATGAGTAGTGTTCAATGTATTTTCCCTGATTCTCCTCCCACTCACAGCCGGTGCCATCGGCGAGAACAGGTTGACAAACTGCAAAAAAGTATGGTCTTAAACGGCCTACAGCAAATTTGCCAATTTCTTTAAGCAAACGTTCAGCGGCAAATCCGAACAGGAAGGGCAGCAAAGAGACGTGGATCATTAGCCATGATCTCAGCAAATTCTTTGAGGGTCGACTATTCAACACGAAATTCTCCACCAGTGCAAGGGCCACAATCATCACCACGGGAATGCCCAAACCGATGCCATAGAGCCACACATAAGTGACCGTATCCCTGTGCAGGGGATATATTAACGAGGTGTCACCACAAACGAAGCCATGCTTCTTTATTGGCCCCCATATCTTGGAGATGTTCAGCGACAAGGCCAACAAGAATGTGACAATTATGAAATCACTCAAAAGCCGTAGCAAATATTTCACTTTCAGAATCATTCTGAACAGTTGGAATTCTGATGTGGACTACACTTGGCGGAAGAAGTACTAAAACTAAATAGAAATTCATCATCTTCAACCGCGAGAGAGGAGAGAGATACACAATATGGGTTTTTTTTGGAGGTATAATAATTATATCTAAGTCATCGGCAAAACCACAGACAGCTAATTTTAGGATAAGCTATAAGTAGGGTGTGATACAATACGAACAATAATAGTATAGGCCAGTAATACAAAAAATTTTTGTAAATGGTGGGGGAGGTACCGGAAGGAGTGGACCGATATATACCGTCTCCACAACAGATCTTGTGTCAGTAGAAATATTGGGATATGTGAAATATTAAAAGATTCGGATGATTATTTCAGATTTAGTAACCGTTTTGGTTATTCAAAATTTTGATTTTTTTGTGGGGGAGGTACCAGAAGAAATGGTCCGATCTCTACCGTTTTTTCAACAGATCCTGTGTTGATAGAAATATTCAGATGTACCAAGTCTGAATGGAATCGAATGTTAATTTCTCGTTTTATGAGCTTCATGGATATTCAAAATTTCGGACTTTTGTGGGGGAGGTACCAGAAGGAGTGGACCGATATATACCATTTTCACAGCAGATATTGTGTTAGTAAAAATAATGGGATGTGGGAAATATGAAGACAATCGAACGCTTACATCACATTTTGTAAAAGTTAAAATTATTCAAAATTTCTACCCTTTGTGGGGGAGGTACGTGATGGAGTGGACCGATATTGTCCATTTTTTCACCTAACCTAGAACTGACGCAAATATTAGGATTTCCAAAGTTGGAGCAAAATCGGATAATCGTTTCTCTTTCTGTGAAGAAAATATATTTTTGAAAAATTTCGGCCTTTTGTGGGGCAGGTACCAGAAGGAGTAGACCGATGTAGTCCATCTTAACACCAGGTCTCTGGTTTATAAAAATATTGGCATGTGTCAAATTTTAAGACAATCGGACTCTTACATCACATTTTATAAAAGTTGTTATTGTTAAAAAAATTGACCCTTTGTGGAGGCAGTACTTGATGGAATGGACCTGACCTATCTTTGGCGCAAATATTCGGATTTGCAAAGTTGGAGCAAAATCGGATTATCGTTTCTCTTTCTGTGCAGAAATATATATTTTTTTTTTTTTTGGAAAATTTCGAACTTTTGTGGGGAGATACTAGAAGGAGTGAATCGATATTGCCCATCTCCGAACTCGATCTAAGTTTGACAAAAATATTACGATGTATCAAATTTTGAACAAATCGGAAACTCCCTTCGAGAATTATAGTGCGCACCACCCAGCCAGCCAGACTGATGGACGGACATTGCCAGATCGACTCCAAATGTCCTGAAACGGATTTGGTCCAAAGAGACTTAGGGTCTAAAACCGTTATTTCGGCTAAGCACGTTTTGACCTATAAAATGATATACCCTCTCTAGCCACATGGCTGCGGGTATAAAAAGTCATCACTGATGAACCCTTCTGCAGAAAAAGTTATCATCGATGACCTCTCCTATTGAAAAATATGACCTCTTCTATTGAAAAAGATGACCTCTTCTATAGAAAAAGTCATCACTGATGACCTCTTCTATAGAAAAAGTCATCACTGATGACCTCTTCTATAGAAAAAGTCATCACTTATGACCTCTTCCATAGAAAAGGTCATCACCGACGACCTCTTCTATAGAAAAAGTCATCACTGATGACCTCTTCTATTGAAAAAGTCATCTCTGATGGCCTCTTCTATTGAAAAAGTCATCACTGATGACCTCTTCTATTGAAAAAGTCATCACTGATGACCTCTTCTATTGAAAAAAGATGACCTCTTCTATAGAAAAAGTCATCACTGATGACCACTTCTATGAAAAAAGTCATCACTGAGGACATTTTCTATTGAAAAGGTCATTACCGACGACCTCTTCCATAGAAAAAGTCATCACTGATGACCTCTTCTACACAAAAAGTCATCACTGATGACCTCTTCTACACAAAAAGTCATCACTGATGACCTCTTCTATTGAAAAAGATGACCTCTTCTATGGAAAAAGTCACCCCTGATGACCTCTTCTGTAGAAAAAGTCATCTCTGATGACCTCTTCTATTGAAAAAGTCATCACTGATGACCTCTTCTATAGAAAAAGTCATCACTGATGACCTCTTCTATAGAAAAAGTCATCACTGATGACCACTTCTATGGAAAAAGTCATCACTGATGACCTCTTCTATAGAAAAAAGTCATCACTGATGACCACTTCTATGGAAAAAGTCATCACTGATGACCTCTTCTATAGAAAAAGTCATCACTGATGACCTCTTCTATAGAAAAAGTCATTACTGATGACCACTTCTATGGAAAAAGTCATCACTGATGACCTCTTCTATAGAAAAAGTCATCACTGATGACCTCTTCTATAGAAAAAGTCATCACTGATGACCACTTCTATGGAAAAAGTCATCACTGATGACCTCTTCTGTAGAAAAAGTCATCACTGATGACATCTTCTATAGAAAAAGTCATCACTGATGACCTCTTCTATTGAAAAAGATGGCCTCTTCTATAGAAAAGTCATCACTGATGACCTCTTCTATAGGAAAAGTCATAACTGATCTACTCTATAAAGCAGTAATCACTGATGACCTCTTCTTTAGAAAAAGTTTACACCAATGACCTCTTCTGTAAAAAAAAGTCATCACTGATGACCTCTTCTATAGAAAAATTCATTATTGATGACCTCTTCCATAGAAAAGGTCATCACCTACGACCTCTTCCATAGAAAAAGTCATTAGTGTTGTTTTTTTTCAATAAAAAAGGTCATCAGTGGTGACTTTTCCTATAGAAGAGGTCATCAGTGTTATCTAATCCCATAGAAGAGGTCATCCTTGATGACATATAGAAGAGGTCTTCAGTTTTGACTTAGTCTGTAGAAGAGGTCATCATCAATGAAATCCTCTTTAACCTTGGGCTGTGTAGAAGTTTTCTTTCCCAAAACCCTATTCAGCCCCGAAGGCTGAGTAGGAGTTTTCGCTACCGTTAATTTAATCGTTACCGAAAATGCTATTTGTAGCCGAAAATCCTATTTCGTTACCGTTTCCGAAAATCCTATTTCGTTACCGAAAACCGCGAGGGCTGAGTAGAAGCTTTCGTCACCGAAAAATCCAATTTAGCCCCGAGTGCTTTACTGAAAATCCTTACTTCTCTTTACTGAAAATCATATCCAGCCCCTAAGGGATAGCAGGAGTTTTCGTTACCGAGAATCCTATTCGGCCCGAGGCTGAGTAGGAGTTTTCGTTACCGAAAATCCTATTCAGTCCCGAGGCTGAGTAGGAGTTTTCGTTACCGAAAATCCTATTCAGCCCCGAGGATGAGTAGGAGTTTTCGTTACCGAAAATCCTATTCAGCCCCGAGGATGAGTAGGAGTTTTCGTTACCGAAAATCCTATTCAGCCCCGAGGCTGAGTAGGAGTTTTCGTTACCGAAAATCCTATTCAGCCCCGAGGCTGAGTAGGAGTTTTCGTTACCGAAAATGCTATTCAGCCCCGAGGCTGAGTAGGAGTTTTCGTTACCGAAAATCCTATTCAGCCCCGATAGAAAATGTAATCACTGATGACCTGTCCTTTCTATGGCAAAGGTCATCACTGATATCAGTTTTTTATGGACAGAGTCATCTTCACTGAACTTGTCTTTGGAAGAAAGTTCCTCTGCTTTGTGCAATCCTCTATGGAAACGTCATCTTCTCAGTTCCTTTCTTACAGGAAAAATTATTTTCTTTTACTTCTTTGCATCACTCTTCTTTTTTAATATGTTTAAGACGCATAAGTTTTCCAGACGCTCGCATAATTTTTAATAAATCTGATGTTGATAGCAATCAGCGATTTCGTAGCATCATGCAGGAGGGGAAGTATAGCCAAGCAACATGGGGTTATATTTTTGTTGCCAACCCGAAGTTGGGACACGATCTTGTTGATGTGTAACAAAATACCCGTCTCAACTGATAACGCACCGGTAATAGCTGTAATTGGTTCGGAATTGAATATCAAATTTTATTTATTATTTTTTATAATTTTTTTCCCGTTGGGTCCCATTCCCCGCTTACGGATTCATTGACATAGCTGTGTTCTGAATTCTCAGACACTTGACAATTGAGTAAAATTTCCATTGTTGTAAACAACAACAATAACGCAATCATGGGCAGCTAATTCGCAAGGAAAATATACACACATTTTTTAGTATTATTTCAAGTGCCGAGTGTAAACGTCATCAGCGGTGGTTACAAAAACAGTTTAGAAAACCTCGGAAAATGAGATCAATTTTCTTAAAACAAATTGCCATTATTTTGCCATTTGTCATAATTTTGTGGCTGAGTTTTAATTTGGAGGCAATGTTGGGTTCTCCCCGGAGAAGGGGATTTGATTGCAAGGATGCAAGCATCAGGCAGCCATATCTGGCAGATACCATAAATACCAGGACCCTATATCTGCTGGGATTGTATTTGCCGCTTATCTGCATAATTCTAAATGAACTCCTCTTTTCGAGAATTAGCAATCAACAAAGATCTGCTCCGGGATTAAAGGGATATTTGGTGGATCTCTATTTGGCCGCCATGCCATTCTTCTGTGGATTTGCCAGTGAGAGATTTATTAAAAATTTACTCAAATTAACTGTGGGCCGTTTGAGACCCCACTCCTATACTTTGTGTCAGCCCATCAGCCTGGAGGGCTTAACCTGCAATGAACTACCCGAAAACTCCCCCTTTATGCTGGAATACACCTGTACGGGGACAATGCATCTCAGCTCTTCGATATACAAATCCTTTCCCAGTGGCCACTCAAGTTTATCGTTTTATGGTTTGATTTATTTGGCCTTATATCTCAGAGGCTGCAGCCGTCATATCAAAGGAGATCCAGGATTTATGGCCACCATTTATCGTCCTTCGGTCATTTTGCTACAATTGCTGTGCTTGTGTGTTGCTGCCATGGTTGCCATTAGTCGGGTTTTTGATTTTAAGCATTTTTGGTCGGATATATTGGCCGGAGCCCTACTCGGCTCAATTGTGGCCTTGGCATTTTTCAGGTATTCTGAAGAGAATGCCAAAGAAGTCAAAGGAATTTTGGAAAATAATTTCGAGGAAAATGCTGAGAAAAGTATTCGGGAGACCTTGAAAGATCCAGAAGCTGGAATAACATCATTTATGCAGAATAATAAACAACAGCAACCTGAATGTTGTATAACAATGCATGGTGTAGAAGAATTTTCGTTATAAAACCTAAATAAAATAAATAAAATTGTTTTGATATTTTTCGATTTTTCGATAAATTTAGATACTCGAAATTTTAGACAAGCTTTTTCATATCAGCCAAAAGAGAGAATTCATAAGTGACGATTTTTTATTATAGAGTAGTGATTATTTTTTATGTAGAAGAGGTCATCAGTGCTGACTTTTCTATAGAAGTCATCAGTGATTACTTTTTTCATAAGAGGTCATGAGTAATGGCTTTATCTATAGAAGAGGTCATCAGTGATGAATTTGTCTACAGAAGAGGTCACCAGTGATGACTTTTTCCATAGAAGAGGTAATTCGTGATAACTTTTTTAATAGAAGAGGCCATCTTTTTCCATAGAAAATGTCATAACTGATGACTTTTGCTAAAAAAGAGGTCATCAGTGATTACTTTTTCTATAGAAGAGGTCCTGAGTAATGGTTTTTTCTATAGAAGAGGTCAGCAGTAATGACTTTTTCTATAGAAGAGGTCATCAGTGATGACTTTTTCTATAGAGGAGGTCATCAGTGATGACTTTTTCTATAGAAGAGGTCATCAGTGAAGACTTTTTCTATAGAAGAGGTCATCAGTGATGACTTTTTCTATAGAAGAGGTTATCAGTGATTACTTTTTCTATTGAAGAGGTCATGAGTGATGACTTTTTCTATAGAAGAGGTCATAAGTGATGACTTTTTCTATAGAAGAGATCATGTGTAAATATTTTTTCTATAGAAGAGGTCATCAGTAATGACTTTTTTAATATAAGATGGCTTTTTCAATAGAAGAGGTCATCAGTGATGACTTTTTCAATAGAAGAGGTCAACACTGATGATTTTTATATGAAAGATGATTTTTTCAAGGTCATCAGTGATGACTTATTCTATAAAAGAGGTATTTGGTGTAAACTTTTTCTAAAGAAGAGGTCATCAGTGATCACTGCTTTATAGAGTAGATCAGTTATAACTTTTCCTATAGAAGAGGTCATCAGTGATACATTTTTCTATAGAAGAGGTCATCGATGATGACTTTTTCTATAGATTTTTATAGAAGAGGTCACCAGTGATGACTTTTTCCATAGAAGAGGTAATCCGTGATAACTTTTTTAATAGAAGAGGCCATCTTTTTCCATAGAAGAGGTCATCCGTGATGACTTATAGAAGAGGCTCATTTTTTCTAGAGAAGATGTCTTCAGTAATGACTTCTTTATAGAAGAGGTCATCAGTTTTCACTTACTCTGTAGAAGAGGTCATCAGCAATGAAATCCTATTCAGCCCCGAGGCTAAGTAGGAGTTTTCGTCACCGAAAATCCTATTCAGCCCTAGGCTGAGTAGGAGTTTTCGTTACCGAAAATCCTATTCAGCCCCGAAGGCTGTGTAGGAGTTTTCGTTACCGAAAATCCTATTCAGCCCCAAGGGTGAGTAGGAGTTTTCGTTACCGAAAATCCTATTCAGCCCCAAGGCTGAGTAGGAGTTTTCGTTACCGAAAATCCTATTCAGCTCCGAAGGCTGAGTAGGAGTTTTCGTTACCGAGGCTGAGTAGGAGTTTTCGTTACCGAAAATCCTATCTCAGCCCCGAGGCTGAGTAGGAGTTTTCGTTACCGAAAATCCTATTTCAGCCCCGAGGCTGAGTAGGAGTTTTCGTTACCGAAAATCCTATTTCAGCCCCGAGGCTGAGTAGGAGTTTTCGTTACCGAAAATCCTATTTCAGCCCCGAGACTGAGTAGGAGTTTTCGTTACCGAAAATCCTATTTCAGCCCCGAGGCTGAGTAGGAGTTTTCGTTACCGAAAATCCTATTTCAGCCCCGAGGCTGAGTAGGAGTTTTCGTTACCGAAAATCATATTCAGCCCCGAAGGCTGAGTAGGAGTTTTCGTTACAGAAATTCCTATTCAGCCCCAAGGCTGAGTAGGAGTATTCGTTACCGAAAATCCTATTCAGACCCGAGGCTGAGTAGGAGTTTTCGTTACCAAAAATCCTATTCAGTCCCGAGGCTGAGTAGGAGTTTTCGTTACCGAAAATCCTATTCAGCCCCGAGGCTCAGTAGGAGTTTTCATTAACGAAAATCCTATTCAGCCCCGAAGGCTGAGTAGGAGTTTTCGTTACCGAAAATCCTATTCAGCCCCGAGGCTGAGTAGGAGTTTTCGTTAGCGAAAATTCGAGGCTGAGTAGAAGTTTTCGTTACAGAGGCTGAGTAGGTGTTTTCGTTACCGAAAATCCTATTCAGCCCCGAGGCTGAGTAGGAGTTTTCGTTACCGAAAATCCTATTCAGCCCCGAGGCTGAGTAGGAGTTTTCGTTAGCGAAAATTCGAGGCTGAGTAGAAGTTTTCGTTACCGAAAATCCTATTCAGCCCCGAAGGCTGAGTAGGAGTTACCGAGTTACTGTTAAGTTACCGAAATTCCTATTCACTCTGACTAAGTAGACCTTAACATTTTTCTAATTTCAATAATTATTTTTCACGTGCAATGACATTCGAAATTGTCAACAACCTTCTTATCGGCGAGCAGAGAAAGCCACCTCAGGCTAACAGTTTATTTACAAATTGCTAGCAAGTCTTAAAAATTTATTAATTATATGAATAATAATTATATAAAATTTTATTTTTATGTCGACCTTTTCGGACGAAATTTTGATTGATGTGAATGTCCACAAACAAAAAAAAATAATAAAATAAAATGCTGGAAAATTTGGACTTGAGGTGAGGATCAATGGAACTTTTTGGAATTATTATTTTTTTTTTTTTTTGTTGGAATGCCTCTAAACGTTTTTTTGGAGGGTTCCCATTGGTAAAGATGTATTATCTTCACTAGCTAGATCATTTACAGATTAACAGATTTAGATATCCAAAAATGTAAGTTCTTCCATTTAAGGAGAAGAAAATCCGAATTCTGGGCATGTGTCGCCTTGAGGGTTTTATTAAAAAAAATAACATTAGCTTTCGGAGGAACTTCTTAGAAAGGTGTTTTTTTCTGCAGATTCCTAAAATATGCCTTCTATGTTAAGAGAATCTATTGTAGCTACTCTTAAAATAACAGTCCCGCTAATAAATTGGTCCGAATGAACAAAATTGGATTTTTTTATATATTCCAAATTTTAACAAAAAAAAACAAAAAACACATGTAAAAAAGCAGCTGCTTGGAAGGGCCGAACTTTTTATATTCTCCACAATTCGAAAGGAACTTAAAAATTTTCAAAACAAAAAATCCGTCGAAAAATACCACTTAAATGAGAACCGTTATATGGAGGCTATTCGAAGATGTGGTGCTGAACAAGTAATTTTCTGCCATAGGCTGAAATAACAATTCCGAACTTCAAATACGAAATTTGACGCAATTTCGGTGAATAATGTCGCTAAAATCGTAACAATACCGAATAAAGGGAGGTACCGTTGTATGAGGGCTATACTAAAACGTGGCCCTGCATAGACAATTTTCCGCCATTTAATTGTAGTACTCATTACAAACTTTAAATACGAACTTTAAAACAGTTCCCATGAATAATGTCGCAAAATCCGACATCCGAATATCTCGGAGTAGCCTTATATGGCTATACGAAGACGTGGCCCTGCACAGACAATCTTCTGTTATAGCCTGTAGTATTTATTTCAAACTTCAAATTCCAAATCTGAAAGAATTCCGATGAATACTGTCGCTAAAATCAACAAAAAAACCGAATATGCGGAGGTACCGTTATATGGCGGCTATACGAAGACGTGGACCTGCACAGACAATTTTCTGTTCTAGGCTGTGGACTCCATATCGAACTTCAAATACCAAATTTTGAAACAATTCCGATGAATATTATCGCAAAAATTATCAAAATACTGAATATCGGGTGCTACCGTTCTATGGGGGCTATACGAAAGCGTGGACCTACATGACCCATTTTCAATACCAAAAGTCCTGCAGACATAATATACATTTGAGTAAAATTTTATCAATCTACTTCAATTCTTTCGGAAGCTAGAGTGACTTCCACAGACGGACAGACGGATAGACGGACAGACATCCCTAAATCGACATAGAATTTTATGCTGATCAAGAATATATATACTTTGTGGAGTCTAAAATGTATATTTCGAGGTGTTGCAAACGGAAAGACAAACTTAATATACCATCCAAACTATGGTGGAGGGTATAAAAACCATAAGGAAAAGTCAAAAGTCAGGCGGGGCCGACCCTACACCACTATGTATATTTAGTAGAGCTCCCGTAACAAAAGAATTTATTTCAAGTAGATCATGCCACCTATCATGATATCACTTGGAGACGGAGCCGTCCCGAAATTCACTCCGTTTGATCAGTCTGATATTAGCCTTTATTTGCACAGATCTTATCCATTCTCGATAAAATTTAGCAAAGGTACTTCCGAGTTCAATAAGATGTCTGGTACCAAATATCATTTTTGTGGAGTGCATATTACGAATGTGAGAGATTTAAAACCCCAAATCGGATGAAACATATATATATGTGAGCTATAGCTATATCTGAACCGATTTTCGCTAAATTTGAAGTACTTATTTTTGGGATGAATTCGGTCGGATGTGCCAAAAATTCAAATAATTTGGACTGATATTGGCCATTTGGTGCACAATTGACCCGAAATCGGTTCCACTATGTGGTGTAGGGTATGAATACCAACCTAAAAGTTCTCCAAGGGGGTTTCCTTCACAATCTCTCTGTTTTCAATTTAAATCATATTCCTCATTCAACATTGTAATTTCCTCGCCTCAGGATGAGAGTTTTATTGCCCTTCGTCACCTGGCCAGCGGAGAGAGAGTCTTGTTAAGGTAGTTAATGACTGCTTTTATGGCCTCATTAATTTCAAATCGATTCGAATCTCGTGACGCTCACTGAACATATCACCAATGTCCTTTACTTTTTTTCCAATGACTTTTTTCAGCTGTTTCCGCATTTTCCATAACAACATTTTTTGTTCTTGTCCCCCCTTTTCTCAATGACTTGCAACTAACTTAGAACACTCGAAGCCGCGTTCGGAGCTCTCTGTCATAGTTAGTTTCCATTTAAATTTTTTAAAG